CCTGCTGAAAAACCCTTAGCCCAGCATCGTCTTAGCCACCCCCTACCCCTTGTTTGTGTCTTCAGAATTCCTGTTGGAAAACAGTGACCGGCAGGAGATGTTGCCCCCCCTTCTAGTTTTCATGCACTTTGCCTGTGTTTGCTAGAGAGCAGGGAAAGGAGTGGGGCTTGATGAAGAGGGGAGGGACTGCTCACTGCCACCAAAACTGTTTCAGCAGTGGGCGAGGAGGCACCTGGGGCCGGGGGGAGGAAGGAGCAGCTCCACCCTAGACTTGGAGGTTCTAACATATTTGCCTGTACGACTGCCCAGTACGAGACGGTGAGTTGTTGCACCTGTTGTAACTTTGGACCTTGCTAAATCTGACTTTTAAAGAGGACTGTAAAATCTTGAGATGAACAAGGCACTGCTGACATCTGAGTTCTTTAATGTCATGGTTTAATTCATGTAACTTGGCATTTTAATGTTCTTGAATATAGTAAAAAATACACTACAGTAATAAATGGGTCATTCAAACTTTTTTAAAGCCCCTCTTTCCCCCTGAAGGTTGGTATTCTTGTGTTTACATATGAAGATCATTTGCACCTTTACAAGGAAAAATAAGTATTCTGTAAACAAATGTTTACATGTATCATTTATGCTTTTTTCTAGCATGAGTAACTTGTATAAATAGTGCTATCTTAATAAATTTCTTCTATGCTGTTCTTTGTGTGTTTCTTTGTTTGAAAACAGCACACAATGCTTTTATGCAGTATATCCTAGGTACAAGCTGTTTGAAACACTGTATGAGCAAAGTGGCTTAAAGCTGGTTGTTCTGTATTGCCCTCAAAGACTTGGGAGCACCTTATTCAGAAGCAGCTTTTCCTCAAAGAAAGGATCTGTGGTATCAGGCCCAATCTAGCTGTTAAGCCCAGGTCGTAGATGGCTCTGTAAAAAGGGAGGGAAATGGCACTTTGCTCCAGCAGTGCCCTGGGGATAGACTAAGCAGCTATTTTCGTAAGTTGCTGCTTTAAGCATGTGCACTATCATTCTTGGAAGCTGGAGAGGCCTCTCTTAAAATATATAAATGCCAGGATTCTGCTATAGACTTTTCCTAAAGCAAGGAACAGTTTCAAAGACTTGGTATGTTGGAGATTGTACAAGCAAGCTTGGTGAAAGGCTGGAGATTGGACTTTAAGAGTGAGAATCTTAATGCTTTAGGGTTAGTATCATAATCACTAAATACAGGTGGCATGTATGTCAAACTTCTAGCCCCTTTTCCTGAAGGGAAACTCAAGCAAACTAAAATAAATGGCTGCTGGGCAGTTGAGCCTGTGTTATAAGAAGTGAATTTCTTGAATAATTGAGTAAAACTTAGGTTAGCTATTAGAAAGCTTTCTAAACTACTCATCAGTAGCCTACAGCTTGTGCATAAAACCTACACTTGTATTTTGCTTATTAGGCAGAAACTTTACTTAAGACAAAAATATAGCAAAAAAGCCACTATTCTTTATTTAGTAGTATAATAATAAAAACATATGGTGTTTAAGACATCTAAACTATAGGCAAGCACTATGCAATAGCTATCTGAACCTTGAGGGAGAGAGCACCTAGAGCGCTCTCAAGACTACAGGATTACAGAGCAGAAGATAAAACATAACACATTATAGACAGTCCTTGATTTTCTGTAAGTAACTTCTCTGTGAAGAGAAGCAGAGCTGGAAACAAGGCAGTTGTCAGTTAAATGCTTTTTTGTTTGTTTCCTCAACCCAACTGCAGAATGAGTATACTTTGCTACTGTTATCTGCAAGCCTTAAAAAGACTGTGCAGCCTTACCAAATTTGAGGTTAAAAACGGGGATTTTTCTGCCCTATAAAATACATCTCTTCTGCAGACAGGCTTGACTTTGCATTTCAAGTTTGGCCCAAGAGTATGACTAAGTTTAGCTAAGAATAAGAGCCCTGTTGCAGGGGCTGTCGGGTTTTTCACTAAACTACATTGACATTCAAAACAACAGCAGAAATATCTATCATTAACGTGCACCGAGTTTGCAACGTTTTATCTCCTAGTACTGTGGCCTTTCCATTAGAGCGACATATCTTCTTTCCTGGGGATGATGATGATCAGTTATTGCAGGTTTGAATGCAGGAGTCCAAGAAAGGAAAGTTCTGCAGGAACAAGTTTCCAAGAGGGTTCTCAGCTTTAGTCTTGCAGCAGGAAGGCCTTGGGAGGATGAAGATGAGCTGAAACAAGGCTCACTGTATCTGTGAGATTGCTAGTTCTGTCAGTAGCATCAGCACTCCAGTTAGGTATCTGCTTTGTAGAAGCTGTGAAAGGATCAAGAGCAGTGGTTAATCATTACTTGAGATGAAAAGAGAGCAGTCATAACACCAAAGTTTTTCATATACTGCAAGGAAGCTAAACTTCCAGCTTTAAGGAAAAGGGGAGGAAAGAAGACAATCCTTGAAAATTCAAGCTAAGCTGTTGAAAACAGAGTAAAAGAGTCTAGTTGAAAAATACCAGTACGCCTGCTGTTAATACACATTACAGCTGAACACTCACCAAAAAGAGCAAAAAATTGCAACTCACTGCTGGTTACTAAAAAGTAAGCTACTACATCTTGTTCTAGCCCTAAACCAGGGTTAGTAGGTTCTGCTGCAGTAAAATACCATGTTGATAATTGTCTCATGCTGTCTGAGACTCCAGAACTAATTAAGGCTAAAACAAAGTTGATGTTTTAACTAGCTTTTAGGGAGAAATTATGCATAAGAAATATGCAACTTTCCTTCTAAAAAGGAAGGTGTCTCAGGTTAGGAAAAAATATTTAGTTTGGCCAGCAGTGGTTAGGATAGCACGTTTGCTTAAAAACCTCACCTTTATAGTCCCATTACAGTGTGCTGAGGCAATGGCTGTGGAAACTTTCACCAGCTTTGTAGCCGACAGGTGGATCTTAAAGTGTCTGTGGAAGTGAGAGTAAAGGCAGTCCATGAAGAGATCTACCTCTTCTTGAGTGATCTCTCCTGGGGTTTTCTGTACTGTGTCCCATAGAGCTTTTGCATCTTCTGGATGGATGGCATAGGATATATCCAGAGGCTGGGGAAGACAAGGAACAGAAAAAACTAGTTCTGTGGCACAGGCGTTTTTTTCCACGCTGCATCCAGCCCACATGGCTGCCATCCAGCTGAGGTTGAGAGGGCTGATGGACAGACGGCAGAAGTGGCAGTCAAAAGTCTTCTGAAACCAGCTCCCGACCATGGCCGTGTAGCTCTCGGCACCGTTGGCGAGAAACAGCGGCAAGCAAGTGAAGTCCTCGGGCACGTTCTCCAAAAGGTCCTCTCCAGACACGCAGCAGAAGCAGCCTGACCATATCAGCTTCTCGTCCGAACTTTTGGGGGAAACTGATGATCTTGAAGAAAGCTGGAATGGGGGAAAAAAAAAGAGTGGTTAGTGACAGCTATAGAGCAAGTTCAATACTTTATCTAGTAAACAGAGTTGAACTTTCTTCATGCAACATTTGTCCCTGGAAAGCTCAGATGGTTGTTCTATCCATTACATCCCTAAAGAATCTGGGTGTTTCTATTGAAAACAGCAGAGAGAGTAAAAAGTGTTTTATTGGAAACAGTCCCCAAATCTGTATTTTGCTGCCTAACTCAGACAAGCCAAAGCATGGTGAGACATAAAAGCACTGCCCTACAGAGCTTTGCATGCAGTAGCTTCTTTTCACTTGAGTGTTTCAGAAACGTTTCTTAGACCTGAGCTATGGCAGAGGCAGACAGGACTATACCAACTTCAAGAAGTTAAATAACTCATCCTAGAAGTTAAATAACCTGTCCAAGGTCTTTCAAGACTGCGGAGCTAAGAAATGAGGCCAAGCTCGGGAGTGCTGACTCTTCTGTTCATTCTCTTATCAAGGCCTCGAACTTAGAAAATGCGGCTGAGCACATCCATTATTTATGAGCTTTTCCTTCTAAAAATAGGCAGGACCCGCTTGGATTAAGTCTCAAAGGAGAGCAGAGTCATTTTTGCACGCAGCTGGAGTTTAAAAGACTTCTTGTCACTGACCGCCCCGTCGCTTGCAGCACAAGCGCGCGGGAAGCCCCCGCTCTGGGGGTAACCGTCACCTGCACGAGCATCGCGGGCTGGTCCTGGGGGTCCCCGCGCAGCTCGGGGAGGCTGGCGAAGGTCACCTTGACGTCCGCATCCACCCCCACTTCGACGGCCAGGCCCTTCTGCTTCTCGGCGGCGATGAAGGCGCCCAGCAGCCGCGCGTACTCCTTCAGGCGGGCGCCCGAGAACTTGTACAGCGGCGTCACGCTGTACAGGCTCCACTGCTTGCGCAGCAGCGACGCGGCCTTCTGCGGGTCCGCGTTCTCCTGGAGCGAGAGCAAGGCAAGAGGGGGGCGTTACAGAGCGGGAAAATAAATAAACGAGAGAGAAGTAAATAAATAAGCAAAGAAGGGATACAAGAATGGAGAAAAATAAGCAAGGAACGAGGAAACAACGGCAGGTTTCCCCTCCAGCCCAGGCCCTCGGGA